TTTAATGCTCTAAGTACTGTTTCTTAGTAGAGTTTTCGAGATAACTTAGTTTTTCTCTTATCTCCGAATTTGGTCAAAATAATCTACGGGGAGAGTGCGTTGTTGTAGAAAAAATTTGCTTAATTTCTATTAACTCAACTCTATATATGTATTTCTTATATCTGACTCTTTTGTTTTAGTCTTCTAAAATGTATTTTATAGTCTATTTACTGAGTTTTCTATATTGTAATCTTTAGCTCAATTTTTGGTAAAAATGATCTACAGAGAGAGTAGTACTAATGTAAATAATATAAATAATATAATAATATAAGTAATATAAGTAATAAATATTATATATATTCTATTTTTTTTTATTATTAAAGTAGCTTCCTTTGCTGATTAGACTTTATTAATTTGTTATTACAGAGCTACCACAAGGATAGACTTCTAAGGTTTTATAGTTATATAATGAGTATACAATAAGCTATATATACAACTTTAATTATTATCTAATTTAAGTAATCTGCTATACAGATAATTAACTATCTGTTAGTTCTATACTATGCTATTATATTTATAATTTACTTATGAGTTACCTATTTAAATACTCTAATCATTAACTCTTCCTCCTATTTCAAACTATTATTACTACTATATTTGACTACTTAAGCTAGCTAACTTGCTTATAGATCTATTTACTGGATAACTTAGGTCTTCTTAAGATATATATAACCTAATATATTATGAACATACAAAGCTCTAGTTAACTTCTGAAATATATCTACTAGAGTAGTCCATACTCATTTCACAAATTCATCTAGCTTAGACTTTTGTGATATTCATATAACTTCAGTTCCTACTATAGCTTTCTACTAGTATTATTTACAGATCTTACTGAAACCTATTACAAATTAGATTCTCCTAATTTAGTTAGCTACTAAGCCAAGTTGATGTTATTATAATATATAGTGATCTCTACTATAATATAAACTTATATGTATCTAATCTAATTAAAGTCTTTGAACACTGTATCCTTCTAGATCAGGTATTAGCTAGTATGATTATTGAAAGCTATACTATTTCACTAACTCAGAGTTTCTACTAGCAAATCCTCTGCATATAGATCCTATTAAGATTTATTTGTATAATATTATATTTCTTCAAACATTGTGTTATATTTTCAATATTCAGATAATATTGGTATAATGTGATTTATAGAGTTACAACCTCAAAAACAAACAAGGTTTACTGTAAGTTAGGTACAAAGGTCTGAGTAATTATTCAAATTTATCAATAGTAGAATTTGAACCTTAGACCTCTTATATAGCAGTCTGGTAACCTAACCACTACACTAAAATAATCAAATCTATATAATATATATTCTATTTTTAAGAATTATAACTTATTAAATATATAAACTAATCTGAATTTATCAATTTTAGTTCTAAGATAATAACTTATAACAATATTTTTCTAAGTATTTTAAATCTATTAAAATTGTTTTAGTTTTTAGAATTACTCTTTTCTTTTATTTTAACTAAATAATTATTTGAGTTTTGATTTTTTTTTTTTATTATAATATGTATTTAATATTTTTGCAAATACAAGTTTTTTGTATTATATTAACCTATAATATATAAATAAGAGTAAAATAAAATATAATACTATAATTAATAAACTATAAGTTATTGCATATATATATAAATTAATAAATACACAAAACTTGCAACTATAAAAATACTAGTAAAGTTAGTGAAAATAGATCGTAGTTGTTCTAATGTAAATTAAATAAGAATTTTTAGAATAAAAAAAAAAAAAAAAAAATTATTTATATAGTTTTAATTAAAATAGTTTTTATATTATTAATTTATTTATTTTTAGATATTAGATCATTAGTTATTTCAAATTTAAAAAACCAAATAACAAATAACTAGATCATTTGGTCATTTGGTTATTTATATTTGATCTGCTCAACATTGAATTGAACTGCTTCGTAATAGAAGCAAATGACGATGGCAAGCCTACTAATTGGTGGGTGTAATTCCAAAAAGTACAAAGTACAATTTTTGGTATGTAAAATAAATTATGTTAAACAATATAAATTTCGAGCTTTCGAAATAATAGTGTATTAGTATAAATTGGTAAACGTAAAGAAAGATAGATGACATATTGAATAAAATTTTGTCAGGTAGAGCATCTTATCGTTAAATAATTAAATTAAACACAAATTCTAATCAACTCTGTAAAGTCAATTCCATGAAAGAAAAAAAAATTATAATCTCAATTTTATATATATATATATATATTTTTTTTTTTTTTTTTTTTTAGAAACAAATCTTACAAATCTTATCTTGTTTTATGTTTAGTGTGTAATTAAATAAAGTTATACTTGAAATAAACTGGATTTCGTACATGACCGTTACTAAAGAGAATAAAGATAACGATAAATTTAATGTAAGGAAACCATTTATCAGAGGATTAAATACTTTTCTTTAGATTTGTTTAACAGATTATCAATGTTATTTTTAAAATTATAATTATCTCCTATTATCACAACACTATTAAGGTTAACATGGTTTACAGAGTTATATATAGCACATTCGTTTTTACGACTTTAAAAGCTCAAAAATTATTGAAACAATATGAGGCCACAAAATTAATTTCTTGGTTTTCATTTCGGCCTAAAAGGTTTCAAAAATTGACCCGACCTAGTTATAAAACCTATTAATTTTTGGTTTATTTTTATAACGATAATAAATTAATTGCAATATTAGTTGAAATTATAAAGTATGAAAGTAAAAACGGATTACACGTATTTCAAAAAATCCTATACATATCGATATAATTAATTACATTTCTATTAATCTATTTGAATAAACAGTAAAAACTATGTTGTATGTTTGTTTGGATTATGAAAAATAACTTACAAGAACCTAGCAAGATATATATTATCTATTTTTAATTCAGATATTTTAATTATTTCTATCAGCTATTACTACATCTCGAAGATTAGTTTAATTGGATCTTTATTTAAATGGGCGACTAAAAGTAAAAACCAAGGAATTTGACATTGTAAAAAAAACTTAATACAAGTTACTCTCGTTATAGTGAAGTGATCGGGCTGAGAAAAAAAATCTTCACTATAGCTTATATCGCGAGAATAATATATAAACTTTATTATATCGAGCGAAGGGTTAATAATAATGGTGGTGAATTTAAAAACAATTCTTCACTATATCAAGATCTTCACTATAACGAGAGTTCACTATAACGAGTGACTTGTAACATAAATTTTAACAGGCAACGATTTAAAGTTCAAGATTTAAATTTTAAATCACCGAGATAGTTGTAAGATATTGGATGTTAAAATTTAGGTATTAAGTATTTTTTACAAAGTCAAATTCCTTGGCTACTACTTTTGATTTTCCAAATATAAAACCTTGAATTTAAATATTTCACTTCATGGAGTATCAGTTCTGAAGAATAGTTATGATTATATTTAATATCATAAGGCTTTTCCAGAAGGATAGTATCTTTCTACCAAATAAGTAGACTCTTAATGTTGCAGTATACACGCGTCCCACTTTCGTTTCAATTATGCTATTTTCATATCTTTCATACTTTTTTTATAATCATTGAACTTGGTTGTATACAAACAAAAAAGATAATAAGAAATTGGTTCATTTCATTATTCGATGTAAAATAAAAGTTTGTATACTATGTATTTTATGAGAATAATTGAAAGGCTAAAAAAAAAAAAGTTTACATATTTTTCATATTTTCACTTAAACTTTCGATAAGAAAAATTGGAATTCAAATTAGCAAAAATCTGGATTTTTAGCAATTAACCTAGCCAATTCTACCAAAGAACGAGTCGGGCGTCCTATAAATTATTCAAATAAATGATTTAATAATTATTATTACAATTGCACAACTTAAACAACATATAAAACACAATATACTTAACCTGTCATGCCCTTAACATGATATCCCGAATCCCGAGATGTAATCATTGAACCTGCGATATCAATATGAGCATACCGAATCTTTTTATCCATATCTGCATCCGCATCAATCAGTTTTTCAATATTATTTTCCTCTTCATTAACATTAGTGTCATCAGTTAATCCGTCCACAAATTCTTTCAAGAAAATAGCAGCTACACAAGAACCTCCCATACCCCTTTGACCAACATTTACGAGATCTGCCACAATTGACTTCTTAAGAACTTCACAATATTTACTATCAAGTGGCATACGCCAAAAAGGATCATTTGCAATTTTTCCCGCTTCTAATAATTGTTCCCAAAGTCTATTTGAATTGGTAAAAACACCTGAATAAAATTCTCCGAGAGCAATTACCATAGCTCCTGTTAATGTAGCAACATCTACTAAACTGTGTGGTTTGTAAGTGGAGCTTGTATAGTATAGCGCATCTGCTAAAATAAGCCGTCCTTCAGCATCCGTGTTATCAACCTTAAAATAGTTTTATCAAGGATTTATTACGGATCAAATAATCATAAAAATAAGAAAAATAATCAAGTTTATTTTTACCTCAATTGACTTTCCATTCATGGCCTTAAAGACATCACCGGGTTTAGTTGCATGTCCTGACGGCATATTTTCACACAATGGAACTGAGACAATAACGTTTATTGGTAAACCAAGTTTGGCTATACCATACATAGCAGATGATACTGCTGCTGCACCACCCATGTCTCCTTTCATCTCTGCCATTTTAGCTGATGGTTTGATAGAAATACCACCACTATTTTCATACATAGAAATGTTTTAAACGACATAAAAAATATTTAAATATCTAATCATTATTTATAGTACTGACCTATCAAAAGTAATACCTTTCCCCACAAAAGCTAAAGGTTTTTGATCATCTTCTCCACCATTATAATGAATTTCTAAAAATTTCAATGGTTCATCGGAACCTCTTGCGACTGATAAAAAAGATCCCATGTTTTTTTGGATTGCCCATTCTTTTTCATGAACAAAGATTTTTACATTTGGTAAATCCTGTAAGAATGATTTAACTGTTTCGGTGAAGATAGTTGGAGTCATATGATTTGCGGGCATTTCTGCCAATTTTCGAGCATGATTTTGTGCTTGAGCATAAATTAAACCAGTATTCCAGGTTAAATTATCATCGGTATTCGTAGATGTCGAACCAATTGGTGAAATTTTGGGAGTTGGTTTTTGACTTTTTGCAGATTTAAGACTATCAAATCTGTAAAGACCCAAAGTAGCACCTTCGGCTGCGCCTAAATTTATACACATATATGAGTAATGAAAAAAAAAAAATTCAATTCATAATCTACAAACCATGTTCATGAACCATAACGTCAACTCCAACATGTTTAACACCTAGTTCTCGTAAAGAACGAATTCCAATGGCTGTCTATAAATGCGCAACATGGAAGTTAACGCAATGCCATTATGCGTATTAATTTGAATTTATCAAATATATACAATACCGCCTTGCGAGATATTTCTAATGCTTCAGAAACATCATGACTTTGTTCACAACTTTTATTAATTCCCAAAGCCACCACAGCAATTTTTTTTGGAATATTCACATCATCTCCACCTAGACCATAAAACATTCTAACTTCACCCAATTTTCCTTTTAATCCGGAAAATTGTAATTGATCTCTAATGTTTCTTTGTAAACCTTCAGGGATTTCTTTTGCAGCAGTATCCGTAAGTGACCCATCTTTGTACGAACCTAATACAAGTGCATCGAAATCACAGAGTGACGGTCTTTGACTACTCATAGTAGAATTAAATCGATAAGATCGACGAATCGATGTGAAAAATGAGTGACACTGAAATCTTGCTGATATTCGAATCATTTGTTTTTTTTTTTTTTTATTATTTGTTATCTGGAATTTGGATAAATTTAGTGGTATATCTTAAATTAGATTAGCCGATATCATGATGCATTACCTGTTACAATGCAAATAAATGACAAGATTGTCTTTATCTAAATCTCTTGTTTTAAAATCAAAATCCCAGTTCTGTTTTAATCTTTTTCCTCTAATTCTGTAGTTCTAAAGATTGATTGATTATCGGCTTATTTTTAAGATATCGATCACCAAATATGTCCCTTAATCTGTTAAAATAAGAGATAAGTTTATTCATCAATTTTCTATAGTCCAAAAGAAATTCTACTTTAAATAATCGCCTTTATAAGAAACATTACCTACTATATGTATAATACGTATAGATTTTTTTTTTTCATTACAAACTATTGTTTTATATGTTATAATTCTTATATTTTTTTTTAAAAAAATTTTTGTAACTGAAATTATTTTTGCAGTATATTTTCTATAACGAACTGACAGTTCTAGAAAAGTTCGTTGTAGAAAATTGCGATGTTTTCTTAAGTATACATATACCGAATATACGTAATAAAATTTAAAAGTTCATTATGTATATTCATTATATTCACAGTCGATTATTTTTCATATTTGTCATTTTAAACCTTAATAATGTCTGTGAACAAAATTTACACTTTATATCTAGCATTTTATTAAGCATAACAGATAATGTTTTTTCTTTTACATGCTACCTTATTAAATATACAGTAGTAGTACTCTATTCTTACAACGTTCTATTTTTGCAATAAATTAACCAGTTATTTGATTATAAAAATGAAAAAAGTTAATTTTATTGTTTTAATACAGTTTTTGTATATTTGATATATTAAAAGATAAGAATAAAATTATTAAAAATTATTAACTTTAAATATATACTTTCTAAGTAAAAAATATTTTTTAATATTTATTTTAACAACT